GTGTGTGTGTGTGTGTGTGTGTGTGTGTGTGTGTGTGTGTGTGTGTGATATCGGGCTTTTTTTAATCAATAGAATATTATTAAAGGAAGGTTGGTATTGAATTTGGTGATGATCGGTGAAGGAGTTCTTTAACTTTATAAAAATTTTTGAATGTTTTGAGAAATGTCCGTGGTAGCTTCAACTTCCGCAAATTTTGAGATATTGGGCTATTTATAATTTCATTATATTCTTCAGTCTTTTCTACTCCTATTTCATATATAATTTTTTAAGATTTAGTTGATTATACCTAGCTTTATACGCGATCAAAGATCCATATGCGGAGTCCATATACATATAGACCGTATAGCCTGAACTCCCAAAGTCAACTTTAATTTGATATTGCGTCGATTGTAAAACTCCACTTGTGCTACTAAGCTAATCTATCAATTTATAAAAAGGTTAAACTTAAAATTTGAAAAAAGTGTGCAAATTAGGAACTTTGTTTCCTGATTATTACAGATCGATCGCTACCATTGCTCCTATTTCATTTAGTTCATAAAGCTTTCTCTATGAGGAAGCCAAACTAATAAATACTAATAATTATGCATCAAGCAAAATACAAGCTTCCTCATAAGAGAAAGCATTATGAGCGAAATAAAATGTTAAATTGCTCTGAATAGGAGCAATGGTAGCAATCTGTAATAACGAGGAAATTTTTAATTTGCACACTTTTTGTAATTGCAATACTATAATAATTATATGATTTTTGTTACAGATTCCAACCTCCAATCGCTGATGATTGCTTGCACAGATTACTTCCATCCTGGCAACGCCTGGAATTAGTTGCATTGCGCTGTATTGTCCTCACTAATCACAATTTGAAATTATTAACGCAGTGCAAAAACTTAAAACAGTTACAACTTTATTCGGTGAAACTTGTTACACCTGATAAGTGTTTTACTATTTTGGAACAATGTCCAAAACTGCAAGAGTTTCATCTCATACATTGTAACATTGACGATTGTTTGGTTAACGAATGGAAGGAAAGATATCCGCATGTGTCCATCTATATACACTTGAAGAATGATAATTTTAATAGTTTTGTTGACCCTTTTGAGATGTATGTATATCATTTTACTTTTTAAAAATTATCTAGCGAACTAGATTGTAAAAGAAGTTAATGCCTAATAAAAACGAAATATTCACATTTATTTATAATTTATTTTTGAACAGTTTTATCTTTTTTTTTGTAATTTGACTCTTTTGGCAGAAGGTCATTTTTTTGCTTGAAATAGTTGTTTAGCAAAATATTAAGGCAAACTATATTTAAGGCTCTTGGGCTCTTTCCGCTATCACGTAAGATTAATTGTGACGTCAGAAGCGAGAAATGACATGCTGAGAATTCTTGCGTGCCACACTTCAAAAATACTCCGAAATACTATTCTGCAAAAGACACTCTTTACAATAAAAGAAGATTCAACTTAATCGGTCTAATAGTTTTCCGGCAATCCCTCATAATTATTAGACCACTTTTCAGGGCCGAAAAACGGTTATGACCCCTTAATACAGTTTCCGGTTTCAGATTGAAGCATCAATGGCTGATCACAGCATCGCGTATTATCGCATCACCACATTCAATGTATGTATATAGAGAGCGCCAGATAATTTTTTGATTCGATATATTGCATTTTAAAGACGTATGTCAATCGCGTGTGTCAATCAATCATTGTCTAAAAACATGGAATATGGCAGTTTGACATTAAAACGGAAATATCATTAAACGCAAAATCATTAAAAAAAGATTTAAGAAATGGTTCGAATACTGTCCTCTTAAAATATTCTTTAGATGACATAAGAGAAAATATCCCCTCTCGTAAGACACATATTTAGTGCCTATGTTAGATGACAAATATTTCAAATTGGGCAATAAGCATCTTAGCCTGCCAACATTTTTGGGTTCTTGAATTTACAATACAATTTTACAATACAATTTCAGAAAATAATCCGGTAAGAATTGAGGAAAATTGGGTGTGTGTTTATAATGCAAAATACAATGTAAAATATTGTCAATTGATAACATTATTTATTACTTTATTTCTTTACCTAGTTAAAGTTAATATCTTACCAACTATTCATCTATGCTTTTATGATACAAAATTACGCGTCTAATTTTCCTGGAAATAAAAATGCTGAAACTCTTATTTAACCACAAATGCTCATAATTCGAACACGTAATTAAATTTCCTACCCATCAGCTCTGTAAGATGTTCCGAGCTAGCAAATAACCAATATAAGAATAAATCGGCGCGAAGTAGAAGCGGTGAAATAAAGGTCACACATGAACATTTTATTTCGAAATTGGCGATACTTGGTGGAAGCAGGCGTATATCGTATCTATATACCTAGAGATATTATTTTAAACGTAATAACAAAAGAACAGAAGAAAAATTGCACTGCAAATCCAAGTGTTATTTTTACACGCAGAAGCGTCGAAAAATGACACATTTGACTGAAGATTTTTTTACATACTTCTTTATATACTAAATTACGTCATTTAATACGCATAATTATATAAAATTCAAAGTTAATTGTGTGCGTTTAATCGTGTTAAATGACATGATTTAAAACGGGAAGAAATGAGTAAGAGGGACATTATGCCCCCCCCTCTAGATTTTTATTTTTTTAATTTAGAATAATTTTATTATTGATAACCCAATAACTTTTTTTTAATTTACACAAGAGAAAAAAATCTGTACAAGTATTTCTTTAAAAAATATTGTTTTAAAAATACATTTGTCTGTCAGAGCTTTACATACCTAAATCGAAAAATTTCATATACTTACGTTTCTTTTTTTTTATAGAATGATCGAACTCGATCGATAGATGGTATTTTATCTTATGAGTGTTATAAAGAAATTTTCTAGAGTAGTATCTACGATGTAATTTATCGAAATTTATTAAATTTGTTCACTTTTGTAATTTTTACCTTGTTTTAAAAAGTGCATTATTAATCTCCTGGAAGTGAAGAAATTCAAGAAAATCGAAATTTGCCTTTCCTAAATAATTCTTTTTCATTGTTTTTTTAGTAGGGGAGACCGGGGCAAAGTCGTCACCGGGGCGGAGTCGTCATTGCAATTATCTCGAAATCTGTATGTTGTGTAAACTCGCCATTAATACTGTAAACGCGGCTTATGGTGCCCACGTGGTCAACGGATATATATAAATAGAAATCTAGGAAATAACTGAACAATTTTGAATCAAACTCCATTTCAAAAATCAATCAAAGAATATGGAGCATCGAGCCGTAACTGGGTGTTGGTGTTAGAATATTTTATATTTAAGTTAGTAATCCGAAAAGTTTTGTAATACGTGCCCAGGTGTTTAATCGCAAACAATATTGATTTCTTTTTCTTTTTTTTAATAAAGCGGCATAACAAGGCGAAAAAAAATGTGTACTCGCGATCATGGCAACGAGAGTAGGTTTAATTACCGGAATCGGTAATTAAAGAGAAAATGTCTCCAAAGACACAAAGGAGAAAAAACTTTCGACGACGCGCAAAGGCGCGACGCTTCTTGTGCTCATCATTTTTTCTTTTACGAGAATCCGGATAACGTTCTGTTTTAAATTTATATAACCAACTAGAATGCGAGGCAATTTTAAACATCCGCATCTTCAATAACGTCGAGTTGTAAAAGTCGGTATCAGTACTAAAAAGCTCGGTGGAAAGTTCGGAGAGTATATATAGTTCGTCTATGAAAGACGATTAGTCGTTGTCGTCGATCGCGTACGTTGCGGACCGGACGCGGGATACCTACACCCTGACCTTTTAGACGGATAATTAATAACTTGGGAGTTATTAATAAATGGAAGAGCTATATGCGATTCGAGGCAAAAACGCAAGAAATCGCAAGTGTTCCTATGACAAATTCATAATTCACGCGAGATAATCTTAATTCTTTTTCAGACGTTTGTGCAGCGATCCTTAATTATCTTCGCCGCTCTCCTGTGCTATTACCAGTCCTGGGTCGGCGCGGACGGCGCGATGGACTGCGAGTAAGTGTCGTATTCATAAGCTTCTTTCTTCTCCCCGTATCGCTGGAAGATAAACAGAACCATAGGATATAAATCGCGGGGTCACTGTTGCAGGATAACACCATCACCCGAAATGCCGAGGTATTCAACCAGCTAGACGATGAAGCGCTTGGTATACCCTTACCTGTTATGCGCGCTATAAGGTAACTCCGGTATATACGCCGCAGCTAAGGGAAACTTAATTTATCGAGTACTATTTACTATGTTTAAGGCAAATGAATTATACCAATAAAAACTCTATACTGTCTGCTACTATTAAAAATATGAAGAAAAGTATATTTAAAACAATCTAATGTAAAAAATTGTGCAAATTAGAAATTTGCACTTGGCTTCCTCATAGAGGAAATGATGTCTTAAGATGCTAATACGGCTCTCTGATTGGCTGATGACGCCTTAAGACTATATCTAAGACGATCTTGGATATAAAGCTCGACTATGAATACCGGCCTTAAAGAATTATATATGAAATAGAAATAGAAAAGACTGAAGAATATAATAAAATTAAAAAATTTTGGTAAACTTTTTTTTAACAGAAATCGGTAACCCCTTTATTATTAACAATTTTTATTAATTCTATTATATTCTTCAGTCTTTTCTACCCCTATTTCATATATAATTGGTTAAGATTTGGTTGATCAGTTCTGGAGTTATAGAAATTTCTGTAAATTTGGCACAGACATACATACATACATACACACATACCGACATTTTTTTTAATGCAATATTTCGACGTTTTAGAACACTCTGAACATATTGACATTAAAAACTCAAAAAACAATCTTTTTTTTGGTTTCTTCTACCCCTATTTTATATATAATTTTTTTAAATTTGGTTGATTAGAGCCAACTTTATACGCAATCAAAGGTTCATATACGAATTTACGAAAACAAAGCTTCCTCTATGAGAAAGCAAAATTGAATAAAATATTCATTCTTTGTATTTAATAAAAAAAACTTTTATAAACTTTTGCATTTTTGCTATATATGTCAAAGGGGTGGATTATATGACATTCATGGGTAAAATATACGCCTTATAAAAAATTACAAATAATGTTTATAAATAAGGCAATAAAATGTCATAATAAGTTATAAAATGTGTGTAAGAAGTTTATTAAGGTGTAAGAATGATAAACAAATTATAAAACTGAAAATTTAAAAAAAATATATATATAGAAGAGCGATAGATGCATTATAGATTATTATTATATACATCTAAAATAATTTGCAATTGTTTTTCTGTAACAGCATTTTGCTATTCAATCATTATAAAATAACTTTAAAAGATACAATCTTTATCAAGAAGTACGTATCTCTTACCCGTTTTGTGTTTCTATTACGTTTTCATTAATTTAACATGGACTTTTGTCGCATAACCAACTTACCCTACTATTGGGGCAAGTTGGCTACAATGCAGCATGTTCGTATTTCACTTATTACAAAGAAACTATACAATATACAGGAGCGTTCTTGGCATGAAAATGTAGAGAAAGGTTCTCTCTATTATATTAGTACTATTAATCATGAAAATTAGTTGTTTAAAAACTTAAATGCCGAAATTGTGAAAACGGTGCCAATGAGCCCCGGTTTCCCCTACTTTTTAATAATATAATTTTACATAATATATTTTCGCGATAGTTCGATTACTATCTACTGTACGTTGTACGTGTCATATTGAATTGCGGCTACATAATATTTAGTTGGTTAACTATGCGCTGTTACTAACCGTCTATTTGACTAACATAATGTCAAATAAATGTCCGAAGTTGCATCTTCGAATATTTCGACGTTAATAAAGGCTCTTGTTCACTCACTGCAGTCATCTTGAATTTATGACGTCAGAAAAGCTTGCATTAACGTTATATATGTAATACATAAAAAAAATTCGTCAGATTTCTTATTACGAGATATCGCTTTTGTTTACGAGATATCTTAATCAAAAGCACGCATAAAAAGAATATTCCGGAAAAGCTATTTGGTAGCGTCGCGTATATGCTCCTGAATATAGACAATAACTCAGACAGTACAAATCAATTTATATTTGATGTACTTCGCGACGACGCTACCGCATCATTGATTGTACATGATCGGGATAATGTTTTAATGTTTCTTTCTTATGCGTTGCTAAACATATTATCACAATAAACAAATTAAGCAGGTTTAGGGACTACATAATGACTATACATATAGTCCTTATTAAAAATCTATATTAGAATTTAGCGTCTAAATTTCTCGGAGTGAAAATTCGGCCGATAGAGTGAGATTTCACTCTTTTGGAGTGAGATCTCACTCCAAAAAGAGTGAAATCTCACTCCAAAAAAGTGAAATCTCACTCTATCGGCCGAATTTTTACTCCGAGAAATTTAGAGAGTAGAATTCTACTTTATAATGTGTAATAGAGAAACATAATAGACATGTATGTATTAATATATGTGTCAATATTCACGTATATAAAATTATTGTAGAATTCTATTCTGAATTCTCGAGAATTATAAAGTCTTTTAAAGCATATTTTAACACAAATTAGTGTAATAGCTATATTTATTTATTTCCATTCATACGAGTGCGATGAGTCATAACTTAACAAAATTACAGGGGTTTTCAGAAAAATAGCTGTAAACCATCAGTTTTATTATCTACAACTCTAATTTACTTTCAAAGTTTGATAACTTAATTAAATCATAGAAATAATTACGTATTCAAATTTTGTTGAATTTATTTTAATAAATATTAAAAAAACAGTGGAGAAAACTTTCCTGTGAAATAATTTGAGTGTAACGTATAAATAGTTAAAATTTGCTACTGGTATTAACTTATCAGTATTGGTAGACTATGTTTCTTAATATACATATACACAAGAATCTAGAAAACACAAATTTGAGTAATTGAAAATTAATGTTACATTGTATTTTACATTGTTAAAATCAACAAATAATAAATCGATAAGCATTCGTGTAAAAATTACGATTACCATTAGACCGAGTCTAAATGCGCGTATTCTACGATAACATTATCTAAATTTTTCGCTTCATAACTTATTGTAATCTCGATATTATTAGAATTTTTAAATTAATCTCTATTAATTAATCTTACGTTGTTAAAATATTACATTGATGCAAACTCTGCATACAATTTACAAAACTAAAGACACAAAGAATAATATACATAATACAATATCGATATAATATTGTATTATTTGCGTAAATTTTTCGGATAAAAGATCAGTGTTATGATATTTTCTGCGAAATTTCCTTTGTTTCTAAGTTCAAACTTTCTATCCTTGTCGCAATGTCATCCATCGATTTCACAATATTTTTCATCGATTTTTCATGAAGTTTTTCTTGCAAAATTTCCGTCGTCTGACTGCTTATTTCATTCCATGAAAAAGCGATATCTTCTTCCCGACATAATCGACTGCACACAACGAATCTAGCTACAAGTTTATGTTGATATGTGCCGACGACGAGATACACTTGTTTTCTAGTCTGCAGACGATCTAAGAGTTCCTTTGTCAAACTGTTATCACCCTGAAAAGAGGAATAATCTTTTTGTTGCAGAAATCTTAGAAATAATTCAGCCAAGTTACAATTAAAATTAAAATTATGATTGTAATTAAAATAAGTTAATTTATAATTAAAACTATAACACTGATTAAGAAGGAGATCCTAATATTATGATATTATGATTATGTACATAGTCAATACATGATTAATTAATTACTAAAGTTAAATAGAAATAAATTTAGTTAACACTAGAACTACAGAGGATTAACTTGTACGTATTTTTACCGAAAAAGTAAATATAAAAATAAATTTATAAAATTAATTATCTGTATATTTCAATAAAAATCAGAAAAAATTTCAAAAATTGTGATAGTTTAAAAATAAATAATTATTATTTAAAAAAGTGTCAAGCAAGTTATTTTGACCCTCTTGTTAGTTCTAATCTTAATTGAATTAAAAATTTATAAAATAAAAGAATAAAAAAATTTATGATTAAAGGTTAAATTTTTATTTTGCAAACTGGTAAAAGAGACTTGTAATTGGAAAACGTACTATGATACGGAAACAGACAAGACCCATAACGACCTCGGTGACTATTTCGAACCTGTTGTCCGACCTGACGTACTTCTCGAAAAGCTGCGCTAGTTTTATGGTGTGTCTAATATGTTCTTGAAGTCCTTGCACTCCATAAATACGCATAACGAACCACAGTTTTAACGAACGAAAACGCCGACCCAACGGTATCTGCCAATTCTGTATTATGAAAAATTCAAGATTTACAAGAATGGAGAACATTTTTAATTACTTTGTTAAAAAAGATAGTCTATTAAGATAAGAATATTATGTTGACAAGATTTATAAAATCTTACTCTATAATCCGGTACAAGTCCTTCCTTATCGTGGGCAAGGTATATTCTATTAACACTGAACGCTTCTATAAGTCGTCTCGAGTTTTTTACCCACATTACCGAAGCATCGAAGTTTGTAAGTAGCCACTTATGAGCGTTTACGTTGAAGGAGTCCGCGTACTGAACGCCGGACATCAAATAACGAAATTCCGGACAAACAAACGCTGCACCTGAATCAATACAATTAATTAAAGTGATGAATTTTTATAATGACCACGTGCAATTATAATCTTAGCTGGTGATTAATCAAATGGCATGAATCTTTTTGTACTAATAAATATTAGCGATTATTTGAAGTAACGTATTACGTCGAATATATAAGACAGAAATGTAGATTTAATAAAAAAAGAGATAAATTGCATTATATCTACCCGCGTAAGCAGCGTCAACGTGCAGCCATATATTGTATTCTTCGCATATTGGTCCTATCTCGTCGATATTGTCAAACGCACAGGTGCCAGTAGTTCCTAAAGTAGCGACGACGTAACACGGTATAAAGCCTTTCTCCAAATCTTCCTGTATCGCTTTCTTCAAAGTTTCTCCGCGCAGAGAGCACTTATCGTCCACTGGTAGCAACCTCATTGGCATTGATCCTAAAATTCCTGCTTTTTCCACTGATGAATTGCTCTGATCTGAAAATGTGTGGACAAATATTTACGGCGTTTACTCAAATGTTTAAAAAACATGTTTACGCAAATATGTAACATTAGCATAAAGATGTAGGTAAGTAATTAATTTTTAATTAATTAAATGTGATATATACAGAATATCCCATTTTAATTCCTTACCTCGAATATCTTGTAAATGACACATTTTCGTAGAAAATGTTTCAGACAAAATTTGTTTGGTCCTGAAGGGGCCACAAAAAACTACTTTTTATTTGACCTTAAGTAAAAAAACATTATAAAGCCATTTTGATTTCCTTAAATAAGAACCCATATGTTTTATGGTATATTCTTATAGTCGAAACGGTTTTGAAATACTGGTTACAAACCCTCTTACAAACGATGAAAACTTCCAGAGTTATGAATCTTTAATGTTTAAGTACTGCCAGCAAATCTGTTGCAAGTGTTTGTTGTATGCACGAATGTTTTCACAAACAAATAATAATTTTTTATGGCTCTTTCAGGACCAAACAAATTTTGTCTAGAACATTTTCCCCAAAAACGTCATTTACAAGATATTCGAGGTAAACAATTAAAATGGGACCTTCTGTATATATACAATCGATATTATATGTAAATTTATATTGAACCTTTTTTCCTTGCTTAACAGGTTAATAATATTTTATCGATAATACACGCATTTTCAAAATTTGTTCATTTCCATTAATACTCACTGGAAGTATATGCAACCAATTTAGATTTAATATGATTCTCGTCCGCTTCTGGATGAAGACGTTTCATTCGACGTGTTGTGTGCTCTTTTGCGGCTAATAAACAAAGGAATGTACATTCACTTGCAGATCCCTAAAATTAATAAATTAATTAATGAAATTAATAAACTAAGTTCTATATAACTAAATTTTTTAAACATTAAGAAACGTTAGTATGCAATATTACAATAAATATACTAAAATGTACAATTATTTATATTAACATATGATATGTTGTAACACATGATTATTTATATATTAACAGTACGATAGTAAAATTAGGATATACAAAGAAGAATTTATGTAAGTAGAAAATTAAATTAATTAAAATAAATTTTTGTAATAAAGAGAGTTGTATAACACATATATTTATTATTTTTATATTTTTATATTTATTATTAAATATTTATTATAAATTATTATAATAATTATTTATTCAAAGGAAATAAAATAGATTTTTTATAATGGCTGTAAATTATTAATTTTCTTTGTGTCCATTGTATAATAATCCAAATGAACAATGGCTCGTTGGTCTAGGGGTATGATTCTCGCTTAGGGTGCGAGAGGTCCCGGGTTCAAATCCCGGACGAGCCCATTATTTTTGTCATTTTTTTTTTGCGTTATTTTAGTAATCAATATCAGTTTTGTGTTAGATTAAAATCATCGATGCAATTTTATTTTATTTTAAAAATGTAAAATTTATGATCTCACTGTGTAAATATATATATATATAGAGATATATAGATTGTTGTAATTACTTGAATGACTCCTCCACCTGTTCCACTGCTGCAATTCAAAAACTCATTAGGTAACCCTAACAGTTTGCCAAGCCAATTACACGTAATGACCTCGAGCTCGGTGCAAGCCGGAGATGCTATCCAGCTGAAACCGATGCATCCGATCGCGCAGCTTAAAATCTCAGCGACGATAGCTGGATAGGAATTAGCCGTTGGAAAATATGCGTGAAAGTGCGGCGAGTTCCAATGTGTTATCTGCACATATTGACGGAAATGATAAAAACTTATCTTCTGTTTTTTATAACAATATAACAAAAAGAATGTTCGTAATTTAGATATTAAAAATTTTTTTAATACGAGCAGCCAAAATTATAAAACGAAAAGACAAACTGTAAGAGAGAAGCAACTAGACTAAAGTATTAACTTTAAGCAACACCGCACAGATTAATAGTATTTATTTTTAATTTATTGAATTTTATTACTTTCTTCTTTTTATTTCTATTATATATTTCTAATTATATATTTAAAGAGAATCTATTTATATATTTAAAAAAATTCTTTTTTTTTCTTTTTTCTTTTATTTCTGAATAGAATCGTGATTTTATTGATGCAACTCTAAGTATAAAAATTTACTAACGTGATATAACAAAATCTCTTATAACTAAAAATAGATTAAAAATTTACCCCTGGCATAATATATTGTTCCACGTCTTTGAGCACTTCTTGCCATCTCTCGGACTTTTTCGGCGCTTCTTTCGGCAATAATTTACTTAAATAACCCGGCTCCACATCCGGCAATACGTTTCTGCTTCTTAAACTATCAGTATAATCCGCGACATAGTCTATAGTCGCCTTTGCAAATTCCACGAATTCCGGCGTGTCCATATTTTCTCTGTCTGAATTCAAGAGCACACGACACAATCGCGCTGTAATACACGTGTTGAAAAAAATTGTGATTTTAATTAAAATTCTGATATAACATAAAAATAATAGGATGAGGCGATTGAACTGCAGCTTCCGATTTGTCGTCAAAATTAAGCTTATGTGGCAAATCGCTACTTCGCGAACGATTTATGTAACTAATATCTACCGTTACGTTGTTATAAATTTTATGATCGCTATCAAGATTTTACCTTGAGTTAAACTACTTATTACAATTTGCGCGAAATAATTCGAAGGCTTGAGCACTTGATGTCACATTAGCACTTCTTTATAAATTATAAATTGTGAATATAGTTTTTAAAGAAGAATGCAATGGCACATATATAACAGCACATACACAGTCGCTATTAATTTTTTATAAAAATTAGCACAATATACAAGCATACAGAATTCTGTATACTATTGTCACGATATAATACTGTCACAACAATTTATTAACTGCCAAAAGAAACGTTTGATAGCGAAGAGGAAAATTTCTCATACAAATGTGGGAATCTTTCGATAAAATCTTGCGTCACGTTTTGCTTCCTCATAGAGGAAGCTTTGTTTTCATAAACTTCGTATTTTATTCTATTTTCAAGACAACTATCTTTATCTCTGGACTTTTATTTTATTTCTTTTCATACAATCAATTATCGAACTCGTACCTCTACGATCTACGCGTATTGCATGGAACGCGGAGAATTTCACTTCGTATGCACTTCTATAAACATCATCGTCTTTCACTCGGATCCGTGATTCGTATAATATTTCGTTGACACCACTGAATCGGACACAATGCCGTTACGCGAGAAAAATTTAACTGGCTGATCCGTACGACTCGAGATCGACGCGCAAGCCGGTGGACGATTCGGAAGTGAATTTCAGTCGAATACCATTCTCTAACGTTAAATACCGCCACCCAGAAAACTTTCACTTGCTTTCTCCGTAATCACGCGCCAAATTTGCTGACCGCGGAAGCAATTTTTCTCTAGTGCTCTGAAAAACGCTTCTTTCGTCTTCAACAGACCTCTTCTTTTAATTAAACGGTTGTTAAATTCTTTAATTCTAATTGAACGGTACATGAAAATAATATTATTGCAATTTAATTATATTTATTAATTGACTAATTAAGAATAACTAACACTCATCCTAACGGGATTTTTAATTACGTAATCTTTATTGGTTTGATTTAAAATGTTTTTGTATAAAATTGTATGATTATATAATTAATAATTATTGACTCTGAGATGTCTAATCGAGAAGAAACACATCACAATAAGAACAAGCTAATTAAAATGCGTGAATTAATAAAAAACGTCAAATCTAATTAATGTGTCCAGCATTTCGGTTTCCATTTGCATCTTTATCAAAAACAACGTATTGCAAAACGTGAATAATTTACGTAATTTAAATTCGAAAATATTATAAGAGTTAGACATAAACGAGATAGTGTGTCAGCACAAAATCAAGTTAATGTGAATACGTATAAAATTGTGATGTTCTTGCATTTTCAGAAAATTCATAAAAAAAAAACTTGTCAACTCCTGTAAATCAGTTTGTACACCCTCGATATATTTTCTCTTAATTGCATATTCTTATACCTTTTTTTTCTTCTTTAAAGCAATAAGAATAGACTGTATAGCAGAAGAGCGCTTATTTTACCATAAAATGCCCGGCGAAACTTACTACATGCCTTCTTCTTTCCTTTCTTCTTTTTTTCTATTTTGCCAAAAACGGAAAGCTTATCCGATTTTAAGATACTATCGATTTTTCATAATTTGTGACTTTTGTCCAATCACTACCTGCAGTTTTAACGGTAACTCTACTGTGAGCGCAATGAAGACTCAAGAAACTATCCATATTAAAGATTATAAGAAGAGACTTTAATTCTTTCATCAATGTCAATACATCATTGTAGTAAAAATTGTTATATTTAAAATTAATACAATTAAAGATTTATTCACGAATTACATAACACATATTGATTTAAAGTTTTATTTTCAAATATCAATGATGACTTATATAACTTTATAATTTATAATTTTGCGATTAATTTATCGAAATCTATTAAGCAATACAAGAAACAATTTGCGTTTCACTTTTATTTAAATTTTACAGCATAAATAAATTTCTCGTAAGTATAACTGCTGTGATATCAATTTTGAATAACGTTAGATAATTAAACACAATTCTATATAAAAACTTTTAATTACTATTACTTATTAAATACACAAAACTATACATAAAATAATTTTAATATATTTAAAAAATCAATATTAGTTAATTTCAATACATTTTTCGGCACTTATTATTATTATTTTTTTATTCAAATATAAAAATAATAGAAAATTTAGATTATATTTGATTCTAAGATAACGTTAGATTAATTAAACACAGTTCCATATAAATACCTGTATTACTACGCATTAAAGAAATACCATATCTAAAGTAAGTTTTATTGTATTTAAAAAATTAATATAATTAACTAATTTTTTAATGAGACTTTTTCGCATATTATTATTATTATTTCTAACATAAGTAAATAAAAGATCCATTCCGTTCAATTATTTTCTTTTTGACGTTACAGTACGAAGCAATCGGCTTAAGTATATCATTTACTTTCAATGCAAATATAGAAAAATAAAGCGCAAAAAGAAAGAATTGCGGGCTCGTCCGGGATTTGAACCCGGGACCTCTCGCACCCGAAGCGAGAATCATACCCCTAGACCAACGAGCCTTATGAAAACTTTTTCATTCTTGATGTCCCACATGGTCGTAATCAAGATGAGACAAAATTAACACATAAAGAAGTTATTTATCTAATAAAAAATACTTAATGTAATTGAAGTCGTTACATGCGCGACATTGGCTATCTGCCATATCTTTTGTTTGAATGGTGAATCGTATCATGAAACATTCAATTCTTTACCTTCCTCACAGTGTGTCCATTATTTGTTCTATTCGTTAAATATGCGTTTTTCTTTTATTGTTAAGAAGATTTTCTTGTTTTTTCGTTACTTTACCTGACATTTTTATTTTTAAAGTACATTTTATAAAAAAGTAATGATATTTTATATTATAACATAATTATATATTTTAATTTTTAATTTGTTAGTTCTTTGAATTTATTAGATATTTTGATTTCAATTTGTTCAGACTCTTAGATAAAAGACTTTAAAATACAATTAAACATCTATAATAATTTAGCCTATCATTGTACATGGATGAAACAAGTCACATGTTCAATATATGATTGACTGATATTTGATAAACCGGGAGGTGTCAACCGTTACGGAAGCAGCCAGTTCTCGACATGGCTCGTTGGTCTAGGGGTATGATTCTCGCTTAGGGTGCGAGAGGTCCCGGGTTCAAATCCCGGACGAGCCCGTCTTTTTGTTAATCCAACTGGTTTCTCAGTGACCCACTTTCGCGACTTTCAATTTGGCAGTCCACTGCTGCAAGTGTTATATATGACACACATCACATTCCACGATCGATAAAATATGTCAAGTTAAATTTTTTTTTTTTTTTTTAGTTTCCGTGGTATAGATTAATTTTTGTCATTGTACGCCGAGCAAAATAAAGGCAACAAATATGAAATATTGAAGTGTACTGCTTGTAAATTCGAGAAAACTAATATATATAGGTATATATATATTAATATTATTTTTGCTAAGATTTTTATTTAAGTATATTTAAGTTTTACTCATTTACAATTAATATTGTTTATAATTAATACAAGATTTAGAAGCCAAAGATTAATTTCTATTTAAATAGAAAGAGAGAGTAAAAGAGCAATACAAATAGAAAGCAGATGACGAGGATTTTGTGTCACTTTCAAATTCCCTGTTTAAAATTGCCTGAGACTACTTTAATCCTTTTTTTCCCGTTAAATAATTATTGCGTAATATGTTATAATACACTTGTTTGTCTTGAACTATTACGATTAAGGATTAGGAGCAGAGGGAAATTGTTAAACAAAAAAAGTAAAAAAATTGCTTTTTTTAATTTATACTCTTCGTACTTATAAACTTTTACATATATTTATAAGTAATTTGTACAAGACAATTATGCAAATAATAATTTGAATAGGATAGATTAGTAATTAATAATTAAACAAGAATAAAATACAGTAAAGTGACTTACGTAATATCCAAAGTGCTTCTAAAAACACAAGATATTCCTGGTAACATTAAATTAGACCTTTACTTTTTTTTCCTCAAGGTTTGATCATGATAATCACTTTGTTCACGGTCACACTTTTTTAAACCAAGAAATATGATTACGTGAGTGATTTTCAATCTATTTAGATCTAACAGGATATATAAAATATAGTAGCATCGTAAAAGCATAAATAATTATTGTAGGTAATATATCCATTTAAAAAATTTATTTTGCGTAAGTATTTGCATAACATATTCACACGTAATACAATACTTAACTTACTCTATTACTCTTGTATAATAAAGCATCTATTAATTCTAAAAATTCTCGAGCGTACAGTAAATTTGACACACACTTGTTGTGCAGATTTTAGGAATTTTTTAAGATGTTTTGTCAATTATTTTTCATAAAAAATTATTTATACTTTGTTTATATTTATTGCTTATACCTATAACAGATATTGTTTCAATATTTTTGAAGATTACATATGTGAAAAATATTTTAATAATTATTAACTTCTAGGAGGAAATATTATGTCAGAAATAATAGTTCACTTTTTTTATTATTATCAGACTTTTTAGTTGCACTCAATAAGTGTATCACAAGACTGTCTGCATAAAATAAATATTTTTAAAAAGCTATATAAAATGTGACCATGAACGAAATGAATAAAGTGATTATCATGGCTAATTGTTTCTTATGCTGTCTGCTCCCTCAGTCTTTATTTTAATTATTTTACCGTAATTACAATTTTACAAACGGTGCATGACCATAATTACAATTTTTATGTCATTTTGAATTAGTTAAAATCATTTTATTAAAAATCGAATACAAATCAGATAGTGATATATTGACAGCAATCGTTATGCCATATATTTTTTAATAATAATAGAAAGCTTTGCAGCCACTAGTAATGTATATATAATCTCTCTTATCTTTTTATCAATTATTAACTACTTTAATTCGCTAATAATAAATATATGATAATTATTATCCTACTCATCGCCTTTTATAATTATAAAAAAATAAGAAATTATATAATACAGAATAGAGAATAAAAGAATTAAAACAAAATTTCTGCGTGTACAAAGTATATTAATTTATTGAATTTATGTTTACTTTCAGTAATCGTTTCACTTAATTCTTCAGCGAGTTTATAGCTCTGTTTTATTTAGCTGAACTTCTTGCACAGTTTATCTTTTCTCTTTTTCTCTCCAGTGTGAAAAGAAAAAGAAGATACAGAACCGTACAAGAAATTCAGCTAAAAAGAACAGGCCTTATCTATATGCAATAAATAATAATACTAATTCAAGAATACAAATAATACGCAAATAACGCACATTACATATCATAAATTAATACTTAAAAACTTCTCAATATAAATAAAAAAATAAAAACAGTATCCCCTTGACGGGATTGAGGCCCCGGAGGGATTCGAACCCTCGATCTCCTGTTTACTAGACAGGCGCTTTAACCAACTAAGCCACGGCGCCTACGTGACGTGAAAACGTTCTGCTACATAGAAAAAGTTGACGCATGCTTTTACAAGGCTAGTATGTAAAATCTCTAAATAATTAATTTAGATATCAATATATTCCGAATTATACCGCATTATTCCATTTATTCCTG